CGGTGTTTGCCATCGGGATTGGGTTTTCGTCGCTTGGCAACGACGTTGTAAAACAAGCCAATTCACTTCGTGAGCTCGGCAACCAGGTTACCGTTTTTTTTACCGCTGTTTTTTTTGGGTGGTAACCATAATTGTGGCNCAGAAAATAAATAAAGTCATACGCAGCTGTCATCCGTACGCAAGGAAGTAACCACAAGATGCCGAAAACCCTCGGCAGGATGCAGCGCACCCTTCGTGCGATTCGCCGAATATCTCACGGCGCTTGGCGCTTGGTGATGTGAGGGCCTGGTTCNCCCCCCCCCCCCCGTGCACATTTATTGTATCTAAACTTGGGGAAATCTCTTCCTTAACGCGGAAACCCCTTCTGTTGGCAACAGCCCGAAGAAACGGAGGCGAGCTTCGGCAATATCGGCGACGCAATCCTGTTACACCTTAGGCCCTCGGAGCCGCCGACGACGAGGGCGCTGGCCTTAGACGTGGCGCAGACCTTCGTGCAGAACGTGGTCAGCGAGCGCTCGAAGGACAAGCGATCCTCCAAGGTGAGCTCGTCGTGGTCGTCGTCCTTGTGTGTGGTGATGGTGCTGCTGCTCCGAGGACAAGCGGTCCTCGAGGGTGAGGCTGTGATCGTCGTCGCCGTCGTCGGCGGCGTCGTCGTCGTTGTTGTTGTTGTTGGTGTTGGTGTTGGTCGTGTATTGATATTAGTCGTAGTACGTGTCTGATCCTGCTGCTCCGAGGACAAGCACAAGGACAAGGGACAAGCACTCCTCGAAGGCGAGCTTGCTGCTGTGTGTTGTGGTTGTTGGCCCCGCCCTTGGTGGTCGTTGTGTCTGGTGCTGCTGCTGTTACGCCTAACGTTGTCTCCCAACAAATGTACTGTACAGCAGGGAAAAATAAATGCTGCTGACCATTAGTACGCTACTGGCTGCGTCCGACACGCGGCCAGCAGGACATTTATTGTCTATGTTCTTGCCGACGGCAGTAGGTAGCCGAGGTACATGGGTCATTATCGGCACGGCATGAGAGACCCTCTCCCACCTCCCCAACCCTCCACCCCCACCTGTGGCGTTGCAAATTTGGTGTTGGCGACAGATTCGAAGAAAGGCTTTCAAGGAGCTGCTGGCGCGCTTGATACCTCTGATGCTGGACTGCCTCAAGAGCCCGGCGGGGAGCAGCAACTCGTCATTCCCTAGAGAAGAAAACGCCTCGCTCGGGGGGGGCGGCGGACAGGAAAGAGGCGAAGGGTTTGGGGACGGCGGCGACGCGGAAGAGGGGGGACTCGCGGCTGGGAAGGGTCTCGGGGGGGAGGTGGTCGTGCTGCACTACTACCAGCAGCACCACCAGTACCTGCTGAAGGTGGCCGTCTTGGAGACGATGAACAGGTAAGGAGCGGTCGGTGATTGTTTTTCACTCTGCAGTTTTCGCTGGTGTATTCTACTTGTGGCTTGTTTTTGTTGCCGATAGTGTGTGGCATTTTTTTCTTTTCTAGAAGTTGTATACGGAGTTCATACATACAATGAGAGGAATGCTGTTGTAGCCGTTCTTCTTTTGTCTAGGGTGTCCACCCTTTTTTGTCGGGGAAGTACAGCAGCACGTCCTCGATACCCTCCCCCCCTCACAGAGTGTGGAGTTTCTGAATACGGTTGTTTCATGCGCCCTTGGAAGTTGCAACAGCGATTTCGGGAGGATGTACGGGTGACCACCGGTGACGAATACTGTTCTCTTCATGTTGTGCTGCTTCCGGTTCTGGTCGGTGTGCTGACGCTGCGTGGTCTCCATGCGTGTAGGCCCCTGCTGGATAACAAAGGTGGTTGCTGGGTTCTAACCCGCTGTATTGAGTTACCGTTGTGCGATCGAAAGGAGAGACGAACTACACTATTGGGGGTCCATACGTCTATTGGAGATCCGTTAGTCTAATCGTTCAGCGTTGTGAGCCCAGGCAGGGTCGATAGATTGTCTGGTTGCTGTAGATGACTTCAGCAGAGGTCTTGAGCTCCGGCAATCGTTTCTGGACAAGAATCTTGTTTCCTCGCAGTCAGGCACGTACTGTTGGTTGTTGTTGTTGTTGTTGTTGTTGTTTTGTTTTGTGTTTCCGCGCACCCCAGCTGCCCACGCGCCCACTTGCGTCTTCACTGTGGCTCAGCCTCCCGATCTATCCACTTGCGGCTGTGCTTATCGCTTCACATGCCGCCGCGTATCGAGCCCCTTCCCCCCCCCCGCCTGCCGTCCCTCCTTTCGTTTCGTCCTGGGCCCCCATTGGCAGGTTCTTGACGATCCTGCGAGCGTTGTTCAAACCGCCACAGTCTACTCGTGTGCAGAAGGTGGTGGCGCCGCTCCTGGATGCGTCGGAGGAGGTGCTGAGGGAGAAGGCGGCGGCGGTGCTGGGAAAGGTCCGTGTGTGACGCGGGGCCCCCTTGTCTCGGAGAGGTCTTCGTAGAATGGAAAATAGTGACGTAGGTGGTGCCAGGGGGGGGGGGGGGGGGGGG